GCCCTCCACTGAACTCTTTCCAATCCGTATACATCCTTTCGTTAGTGGGGGACCTAAAACTGGACACAGCGCTCCACTTGGTGCTTACAGTACAATTTCCCTATTGTGCTCTTGTAAAACGTGCACTGTTAGAGGACAAAACACTTGCAGCTGAGGGAGGTGGCTCTACACATTCCAGAGATTTGCCATACGCAACAGTCAAAATCAAACTTTTCTCTGGCATCCGCTGAAAACTATAAAGGGACCAGCCAGAAGTTTGTTTTCCCCTCTCTGGTGAATCTGTATCAAGGAGCTCAGCCTCTCCTTGCATGTCCCGACCCCCTGACAGGCCACCCCAAAGGCTATCGGCCTTGTTCTGCCGTGACATCTCTATTTATTCTGCGCTGTTCTGACAATACTCATAGCAAATAAGTGTGACGTCCATGTGGTCAACATATGTCTTTCCACCTGGACTCTGCGCTGCAGCTTCTCGTTGGCAGTTCAATAGCAGTTGGCACTGGCAGTTCAACAGTATTGTAAATAAAATCCCCCCCAAGTCTAAGTCTTTTACACTCAGATGGGTCTAATTCCAGTACGCTATGGCACCCTACTAAGCCCAAGTGGACCCCCATGGATCATTGCTTATGGTTATGTGGAGTCCATACTTCCCCACTGTATCAGCAGAGACGGAGCAACTTCAAACATTAGCAGCCCATCTTTAATGTGACTTGATGCCTATTTAACAACCTCTGCTTACCTTGCCATTTTCTCACATCTCTTTCCTTCAATCCTTGAGTTTCCTCCTCCTAAAAAAACCCCCCTGCATCTTCCCCAGTGTTATTCGTTTCCACAGAAATGTACTCCCTCCCACGTCTGAAACATGGGGCATGAAAACAGAGAGCATTATTTCTGCTTCAAGTTGCACAGATCTGCAATTCAGTGATATCTGGTAGTTCTCCGGACAGGCCTGTGTGAGCGTGGGAGCGACAGGATGGCAGCACCCTAGTGAAATCACGAAGAGGCGGTTGAGTACGTAACAGCAGAGAAGTTTGTTCATCTTAGAAGGGGACAGAGCAGAGCTCCCAAGCCACCGATTTCTACAATACTCTCCTTAGATGCCCTGGTAGGTACATCGACCCAAACGTGCAGGGACTTGCAGCCATCCTGAGCTCAACCTTCAGACAAAGGTGGTACAGATGATGTGCACACCACAAGCTGGGGACTGACCTGTGCTTGTCCAACCATGACTAGCCAAGGCCACTGCAGACCGCCATGGCACCACTGGCAGGCTCTTCTCAGCAGTGGGAACACCAGAGCCAGGGCAATGAGACTGAGGAAGAGCCTGCAAGTTTAAGCCTAAAACTAAATCCGACCTCTTGGACAAAGTCTTGTCTGGTTAACTGTGCCTTTCCCCCACCCAATTTGCAAAGGGGCTAGAGCAGGGCAGAGAAAAGCAAAGGAAGGAAAGCAAGCAGCACTGCATGAATGGAAGGAGGAGGGGAAGGTAGGAGGAAAATCAGAAATTGAGGACACACAGACCTTTTTGGGCATGCTCAGTGCTCTCTTCAGAAGGCGACTGTTGCTTGGATACTCTGATGATAGGTGCCTTAGCAATACCTGAGACAAACAGACCCACGGACACATTCCCAGATCATTACAAGACAGGCAAGCGTGACTCGAGCAAACGGCTCAACAGATGAGCACTGCTCCAAGATCAAAAGGGTGACAAGCTGGGGTGGGGGCACCCTAGGAAACGAGATATATGTACCTAGATGACATTGAGACTGCCCGAGGGAGAAGGGAAGGAGTCGGGGGAAGGGGAACACATTTCCTGCAGCTGCCTTTTCCTTTTCTAAGCCCCCCAAAAATCCCATGCCAGGGACCAAATGAATCAACCCAGAGGGTTTGCCTACCAGATCACCCAGCAGGCCATTAAAAGCCGATATCCTGCCCCTAGAAAGACAGACAGTCCCTGGAAGAACTGACTCTCCTTGAGATCATGACCTATTTTGGATCTGCTCAGGGATTTTTTAACCTCAGCTTGCTACAATTTGTTGGCTCTTTCTCTATTAAGGAAAACAGCCCCAGCAAGGATCCCCATCTTCTACCACCCCACGTATGGCCTACAACTGCAATCAATAAGGCAGAAGGCTTGAGATACCTGCTGAAGTGGCAGGGAGTGACTAGGTTGGGGGTTCTTGGTCAGCAGTAACCAGGGGCAAGAAATAATCTTTTTCAGACATTCATAGAGTTGAAGGTCAAAAGAGAGTATCAGAACAGGCTCTGCGTATCACCCAGTTACTCTCGCCTGCTACCGTGGGCATGGCTAAAGCATCAGCTCCTCCAGAAAGGCATCCAGCCAGCCTTGATGCAAAGACTAAACGAGATGGAAAATGCCCCGCTTCTCTCAGTGGTTTGCTTTGATGGTCAATCACCCTTCCCATTAACATGTGCATCTTATTTCCCATTTGGATTTGCCTGGCTTGAGCTCCCAGGCATTTAGTCTCATTATGCTTCTCTCCGCTAAATTGAAGAGCTATTTAGTACCCAGTCTTTTTCCTCATGAATGTACTTACATGCTCTAATCAAATCACCTTTTCCCTTCAAGTTAAAGATAGCAAATTCTTTGAGTCTATCACTGCAAGGCATTTTCTCCAGTCACTGGATCTTTTATGGAGCTTCATCCTGCAATTTTGCAATATCTTTTTAAAAACGGGCGCACCAGAACAGTATGCCACTATCAGCTTCACTTCATCATGCTGGATTCCCCAGTACGATCCCCTGCCTGCCCTTCCTTACCGCTTCTCCGTTTATCCACTGGAGGCTCACATTAGCCCTTCTTGCCCTACCCTTGCACTAGGAGCTGCTCACATTCACTGTGACCCTTAAATCCCTTCCCAAGCTGCTGCTTTCCAGGACACCCACTCCACACACACGCACACGCTCTGGAGGCTTGCATTGCATGTCTTGTTCCTATACATTACATTTTGCATCGGGTTGTATCCAAACTAGCATGGGTTGGGAATTCTCATTTTCCAGACAATCCTCCCTCCCTCCCTCCCTCCCTCCCTTTTTTTTTCTGTATTTTTTTTCTTTTTGCAGAATAACAATTTTTCCCAGAAATTTTTTTTAATCCTCCTGAAATAAATCAGGTTTTCTGTCAGAAAAATTGGAGCAGTGTTTCCCCAGCAGCCTGCCTGAAGCCTCCTGTCCACTTCCACTTTCGGCAGGTAACAGATACACCAAGCCTGATGTTTTGGTCCTCCCAGAATGGCGCCCTTTGGGAAGCCTCGAATAAAATTTGATTTTTTTGCTTCTTGTCCTGATATTTTCCCCCAGAAGTGACCGGCATTTTCCAACCAACTCTCAGATGTATTTTGCTGGAATAGGCCAAGTTTACTAGTCTAGACAGCCTGTCCACACCATTATTCACCACGAGCTAATCTGCACATCATCCCCAAATTTCACTCGCAATAATTTGATGTCTCTTTCCAGATTACTGAATTGCACAAGGCCTAGTACCAAGCTTTGGGACTCGCATAGAAACTCTCCCAATTGAGGATGCCCCTCTGACAACTACTTTTTCAGATGTCAGTTGGCCAGTGATGTATCCATTTATCTTGTGCTGTCTCGATATTGCACCACGCTGGTTGTGTTTTTTTTTAAATAAAAGCAATCCTAAGTGAAACACACTACAAAAGTCTATTCTGTCTAAGCAGTCACTTTTATCAGCCAGATCGGTAATCTCAGAAAATGAAACCACTCTTTTTTGACAAGATACACCTCCCATTAAACCATGCTGACTACTGTACTATTAATTATATTCCTGTCTTTCAATTCTGTATCAATTAAATCCCAAATTTTCCATTACGTTGCCTGGGACCAATGCTAGTCTAACCAACCTATAGTTACTCCAGTCATTCTGGTTTCCCTTTTTGAATATCAGCTCTCTTTAAATCTTCCGGACGTTCCCCACTGCTTATCCAAGCGTAGAGACGTTACACGTGTCAGAGGAGGCTGGGTGCACACACATGCATGCATGTTAGTAATTTCCAATGTAGCTGTCCAAGAAATACAATCGGGCCACTTCACTCAGGTTCTTATTTGAAGACTTCCCCACCCCTCTCTTTGTTTTTTTTAATGGAAACCAGTCAAACTTGCAGCTTCAGTATGATGGAAACAAGAACAGCCCAGATGCTGAGAGCAGAGGGAGAGGCTGTTGGAGCACTACAATGTGGAACAAATTAAAAATCAAACAGCAAAGGAAATGAGAAAACTGTGGGCCCAGAAGCTTTGCCGTACACCCCCGGTTTAAAACTCCTGCTCCTCTGAGTCCCGCTTTCAAAAGCAAGGCAAGCTCCCCCAGACCCTGAATTTCGGCAAGGTGGCCCCAGGACCCTACCTTCACCCTGCAAGCTGGAGATGGGAGCGACAATAGAGAGGCAATAAAAACCACCACTGCAAATAGACTCTGATTAGCTCCCCGCTGGGCAATGGGTTTGGATCCTATGTTGCACATGGAAAGCTGGAGTCAGAGGAGGGCTGGACTAATCAACCGTTTCTGCCATGGGATCTTCGGTAGAAAACATGCAGTGTAGGAACATTTACACAGCAACAGGGACAACAAAGAGGCTCCCCGCTTCTGCCGGGAAGGCTGCACATCCACTGCCCAGACACCTCCGGAAATGCCCCTCCAGCCCTACCTGTGGTGTTCGCATCGTCCTTCATTTTGAGATTGGCAGCTTTTGGCATTTATGATGCATCTGGCTAACTGAAGTCCCAGCCCAACTCCCGAACAAGTCAATGCCAGTCTTTACCCAGACGCGGGCTGAGCTCCCAGCCCGTCCATCCCTCCCCGCACAACGAGCAGCAGCAGTTGCACGGCCGCCCCGTGTGTCCCCGCAAGAGCTTCGGGGGCTGCGTCGGGACCTGGCACGGCTTTGGGGTTACCCACAGAGGCACCCGTTTCGGGCCCGGTCACAAATTCAGCATGTTCTGCTGACATCAATAAAGAGCCTTACCTTGGTCTTTAGAAAGGAGGTTTTTCCTCCGTGCCCGCTGCCATCCCGGCGATGTGTTAATGCCCGGGCACTGCTGACGTTCCCTGGAGCTGCCTGTTTCTCATGGGGCTTTATTCAAAAGTGCACGGGACAGAGCGTGGAACGAGCAAGGATGCTTTTTGGTCAGCTCTTGGCATCAGCACCGCGGCGGGCCGGCTAATTCGGCATTCTCCAGCATCGTCTTGATTCAAGGGGTCCTGCACAGGTCCGGAAAGAGGCCGCACCTGAGCCAGGGGCTCTCAGCCATGTCCCCTCCTGGACGGAGGCGCTGCTCCGACGGCTCACCCCCCTGGGAAACGCCAGCGCCTGGTTGTCGCTCTTCCCTCGCCTACAGGAAAATAACAGCAAGTCTTCCACCGCAAACGACTCGGCACCAGGGAGAAGCGGCTGACCCCGAAACCTCTGGGTTTGCCACTCTTGTGACGTCCCGCAGACGCGTCTGCGGGCACCCCGGGGTGCCGCGGTCCCCGCTTCGGAGACTCCTGGCGCTGCGCTGGTCCCCGGAGCTGCCTGTTTCGCGTGAGACGGGGCTGGCGGGTGGGCAGGACACCCGGGCAGGAGCACAGGGACAGCGGGGACACCCCAGCCCGGCCGCCAGACGAGGGAGCGCCCGGCCCAGCCGCCCTCAGCGCGGCTCCCCGCCGGGCCTTCATGGGGCTGCACTCGCGGCGCCGC